AGAGGGAGAGAGAAGTAGCGATGGTGGATGGCGGAAGGCGGGAGAAACGCCGAAGGTGGGATGGTGGGAGCGGTGGAAGTAGTCGGGAGGAGAGAGAGAGAGAGAGAGAGAGAGAGAGAACAAAATCAAATGAATCTACCGCTAGAACATGGAAATATACGTTGCACACATGCACGCAGCACACCAGACGTGCACAGCGCAGCGTGCAGTGCGCACCCAGATGTGCGTTGCGCGCCGGTGCGCGCACACCCTGGGTCCGCGCACAGCGCACTGCGCAGCGCACAGTGTCGGTGCGCCGCAAGTATGGTATAGACCATACTTGCAAGCGGACGCCATCCGGGTGGTTCCACACGTGCAGCAGACCGCCGGACCGGACCCGCGCGCCGCACGAATGTTTCTTTCTCCTTACCTTCCTCCTTTTCTCCTTCGTCAAAAGCCAATTCAGTCCGCCGCAGTACAATAGCTTCCTTGGTGGGATCCAAGGCAGTATATGGAACGCCCTCCTTCTCGCATATTGCGGAGATCTGCTCCTTATTCTTCTTGCGTAAATCCTTCCTTGCTGCCCGCAGGAAGGCATCACGATCATTGCAAGGGGCAGGGCTCGCCTCAACCCTACTTTTGTTCTTGGCTGTCGAGGAAACACCAGCTGCATCAACCGACACCTTTTCTTATCGGGCTGTCTGAACAGCTGCCGCATCCATCCTTGCTTTTAGGTTACTCCGCGTTGCCTTGCGATTCTCAACATCCAATTTCGCCATCTCCTCCTTTAACCTCTCCAACTCGTGTTCACTTTGCTTCCTTGCGTTCATCTCCTTCAATCGCATATCCTGTAGGATGCCAACCTCCGCTTGATGCCTCTCAATTATACCTTTTAATCTCTGGTCCACTCTCCTGGCAGTTGTGGGAGTCTCTGCCGGCGTCATCCTTGGATGTACCCTGGTCTGAGTAACAGGTGTACTACCAATCGCAACTCCACCCCTCTTGTTTCCTGGTCGCAGCGCCTCAGCCTTCCAAACCTCAGCGTTGGCCTCAACATCTTCAAACTGTTTTTGGAGCGCATGGATGACCTCTTCAAGAGCCTTGAACCTCCTATCTGCAGCCATCTTCATTTCACTTTGTTCTCGGCGAAGTCGAGCAACCTCATATGATTCGGCAGGTGGTTTTGCTACTTCCCCAGAAGAGCTAGCCACACAGGGTCTTCGCGGCAGTTCCCAATTCTTGCCTTCAGTTTCTCAACTTCTTCTTTGTCACTGCTTTTTTTCCCATTCACCGCTTCGTAAACTTTGTCCAGTTACTGCAAAACTTCCTTGTTAATTCTTGCTTGGAAATCTTCACGCTCCTTTTCATGTGGTCTCCGCTCCTCGTCTTCCCATTCCCTCTTCTTTCGTTCCTCTTCCTCGCGAACTGCTTGTTCCTTAGCCTCATCCGCATCAGGCTTCACTTTGATTTTTCCCACAATCTCCTCCAGTGTCCTGACTCGTTTCCCGATATACCCTTCTCCAGCCGAGTCGTTACCGTAAGACAGGACAATTGTCCCTACATTAGGCTGACTAGGCCTAGCAGGAACAGTCAGAATAGGGGTCTGCGTTGGCACTAAAGCCGTGCTAATCGGCAGTTGACCATTGTTAAGACGCTGGTCTGGAAGCGGACAATACCGCGAGATGTGACCTCTCTGTCCACAATTATAGCAGGTACGCATATCCGTATTGTTGTTGTTCGACGCCATCCTTAAAAGACAAAGCCACTCAAGGATAGTCTAACTTCTACCTTGGTTACTTCGTGAGTCAAAGTAAGTAAGCAGAGCTTATATTACCAGATGATGGATTAGACAACAACTTAAGTACGACTCGAAAAAATAGGAGAGGAACAGACCAACAATATCCTTATATTAGAGAAGAGCGAGAAAAACCAAAGGAGGAGGAAGAAGAACGACGACTCATGTCCCGAACGCGACTTGAAATTATTAAAAATATAACATGTGAGCGAGCATGGCGTGTAGCCCTACCGGTTTCACCTGGCCGCCAAACCAGGATCATCAGGGGCTTTGAAGTTGGTACGACAGACTTCAGTCGTCGATCCTTCTTATACGACAAAAATACCATCTAACTCGCCAAGTCCACAGCATACAAAGCCGCGCCTCCGCGGTATCAGTGGTACTAAGAAAAGGAAGGAAAAAAAAATAAATGGACCCATCCACCCCCTCCGTCCACATACTCAGCTTCTGAGTAGTGCCAGTCTTTCCGTCGTATGTGGGAGACATTTATCTCTGCCACTTTGCCGCTTGCAAGCCACACCTTAGTGAATTTTGTCTCGTCTTGTGCCATTTACAAAGGATCTCCGCCTGAATCAAAGTCCTTGTCTCCGCCCATATCTTCTTCCTTGGGGTTGAGAGTCCCTTAATGGTTCTACAACACCTTTCCTTCCAGATGGTCCAAAGCGTTACCCTTCTGATCATTCCAAACCACGTTTTCTCTGTCTTATTGAATTGAGCTGGGATGTTAGTCCACAAGAGGAGTTGGATGGGGTGTTCAGGGAGGGGAGTCGAGAAGAGGGAGTCCCAGAGATCATAGGCCCTCGCCCAATATTCGGTCACCTCTCTACATTGTATTAGGCAATGTACCATATCTTCTGGTTCATTTTCTAAACACGCCACGCATAAATCTGAATTGTTAGGGTCATTCTTGCTTCTTCTGATATGTAGCCACTGGTTCACCGGTAGAGCTAAGTGTGAGATGAGCCATTGGAGGCTTCTGATTTTGAACGGACGAATTGACTTGATTTTTTTCCATGGTATTTGTGGTATTTGATTAGCATCTTGACCTATTAACTTCTGCCATCTGTTGTTGATCGTTGGTTCAAGATCCTTTGTTTTGAGGAGTAGGTTGTAACCCAGTTTGATTGTGTATTCTTGAATGGAAACGTTAGTTTGAGGCTTCTATTTCTGTCTGATATCCAAGCCCACTCTGCTGGATCAAATTCCAAGTCTTGAATCGCCATATCCATTCTGAAGATTGTTTGTGGCCATGACCTCAACATTCTGACTTTTCTGAGTACAAAAGGGTTTAGGACTGTTCTTTCCACCTCTTTATTCAGGATAGATGGAGGGCCTTGCGTGGAGGGGGTAATGGGGAAGGACGTGAACACTGCCAGGGTATCCGACTCTTGCTGTTTATGGGAGAATTCATAGGCTGCAATCAGACTCGCTTTCTTCTCACTCCGCATGCATGTAGGGCTAGTCACTCTGGCGCCAGGCGCCCACACAAAGCTCAGAGATATTACAGGCGAAAACACAGTTCAAATGCAAACTCGCTTCAAGTAACTATGGCGCCTGTGCGCCCCTACATCATCCCTCACAACACTGTATCCTATCAACTTGTTCACACACACACTTCACTGGATCTCCCTGGATATCCCACACGCATACACACACACTGAAGACTACTCTAACCTGGCGCAGCTATGGCTGCTCGCTAATTCTAACGCTACTAGCATCTATGGTTGCTCTGTCTCTCTTGCAGCCCACCTCAGTTTCGGGCATCTGCAGACCACCTCGCACAAGACGCACTGGCAGCGCTTCCGCTTGGCTCGCAACAGCATGAATGAATGGCTGGACGCTGCCTCTTGATTTATACTTCTGTAAGTCGCTGGTCTGCCCTTTTTCCACCGGGCCCATGGTGCACACAGTCCGCCATGGTACTTGCCGACTGTACATAGTGAGATTGGGACTGGGTACCGCTGACTAAGCGAAGTTGGACTGACCGCTTGCCCACTTGCCTCTGGTCTGCTGTGGGTAACGTGAGGAAAACTCGAAAGGCCACTTCCGGACCTTCCGGAAGTCTGTGGACTTGGACTTTCGGAATTGTAGCAGCTATGACCTTGACCTTTCCGGACTGTAGCAGCTACGACCTTGACCTTTCAGAATTGCTACAGCTACGGCCTCTACGCAACTATGACCCAAACCAACAGATCGAACCCCTACAGCTGCACAAACCTAGAACAGACTACAGTTAACTACCGAAACACAAGACACAGTTTCAAACACACAGGGGTCGACTCGATACTGTACACAGGTGTGGTAAGGTCTAGGGATCGAGCCCTGGGATCTGCATTTGCTACTGCTAAGGGGAAAACCGTTCCACTCGTGCCGGCCTAAATTCGAGGTCCTCCAAGAAACTTCAGTCTAAGGTAGGACGTCTACCTTTCTTATCTCTCTCGTAGGCTCAGACTATATTGGGAGTGGTCTCTAGAAGGTCTGTTCGGGTGAACCAGCGGTCGTCTTCCGGCTCTTGATATGTATTGTTTCTGTGGACGACCTCTACCTCCTGTTCTGAACACATCCTCACCTACAATGCTGTCAATGTCGTACCTTCCATCCATGTCCGAGGGATCATGGGTCTTTGTGATGGAAACTGTTGACTTGTGGTACAAGGCAACCACTTTGACGCATGAAAGACTAGGTAGGTGTGGAGGTGTGCTGGAATCTCTATGGTGTAGGACGGTCCATCCTCTCCGCCCTTGACTTCTAGAGCTGGCCACGGTCCTCTATACGCAGGTAAGAGTTTCTGCGAGATGTTCTCCTCAGGAGCCAACTCTTTTGACTTGACCTAGACTAAGTCGCCTACTTGGAACTGTGAAGGGCGATGGTGCTTGTTGGCTTGCTCTATCATTCGGTGCTAGGCCTTCCAAAGGTTCTCAACTACGATAGTAATCTCTTTCTCGTGCTGTATCGCAAATTCTCTAGTACCGGGTGGTAACCTCTGAATCTGATCCCGGTTAAGTCCTTCAAACGGTCTGCGTGGTTTAAAGGACTTATGCAGCTCGTTGGGAGTGCGACAAGTGGCTAAGTGCACGCTGTTGTTGTAAGCACGGGCTACCTTTGGGAGAGTCTCATCCCAGGTCGGGCCTAATGTACATTCTCAGAACTTGCTGCAGGACTTTGTTCATCTGCTCAATCTGGCTACCTCTGGGAGAATCTCATCCCAATTAAGTTGGCCGGGCCTAATGTACATTCTCAGAACTTGTTGCAGGACTTTGTTCATCTGCTCAGTCTAACCGTTAGTCTCTGGATGACGACCATATGACATTAACAACTTTGATCCGTAGCCTTCCATTAATTCATGCCAGTTCTGACTAGTGAACCGGGTGTCCCTGTCACTAACTATAGACAACGGTAGCCCATGTTCACTGACCCAATGGTCGAAAAGCTTCTGTATTACTAATTATGTGCGTGCCTCAGAGGGCAAAGGGACACAAATTGCATACTTGCTAAAACTATCTACTACGATCATGACTTGGCTCCTGCCATGTTTACTCTTGACACCAGCGTCCATGAAGTCTATAGACACTGAATCTCTGGGTCCTTCGGGGATAGGCAAGGGTCTGAGAAGACCTAGAGGGGCTTGCATAGTAGTCTTATTCCTTTGATAGACTTTGCAACTGCGTACGTCTTCTATAAAGTCGGCCTTCATACCAGGCGAGCTATACTCTAGCACGAGGTTGGCTAGTGTCTTTTGCAACCCGAAATGTCCCTCTGTATCATGGCATTCCCCTAAGATCAGACGTCGGATCTTTTCGTTATTGGGAACACATAGACGGTCAACAACATTAGTCTTCTCAAATAACAAGCCGTCTGTAGTGCAGTAATCTGGTTCTCACTCTGGGGCCTCCTTAACTCTCTTGAGGAGGTCGCTATAAATAGGGTCTTGCGCATACGCTTCTTTCACTTTCTGTTGCAGGTCTCTCCCTATATCCTGATAATGCACTTTCGCTCCAAAGTAGTTTGCTCTCCTACTCAGGGCGTCCACAACTACAATGTATTTTCCCTTGACTCGCTTCAGCTCAAAGTCATACCGATCTATCACTGCGGCCCACCTAGTAAGCAGAGGTGTCATCTTGGCCTGCGTTTTCAGCCACCTTAACGTCTCGTGGTCTGAATATACTTTGAAGTGCCTCCCAAGCAAGTAGTGCTTCCAATGATCTAACACTTGCCTGATAGCGTAGAGTTCCCTCTCATAGGTGGATGTTGCTACCTTTTCCGAAAGGATTCTAGTAGACATGAACTCTACGGGTCTACATCCATTGCCATCGTCTTGCTCTAAAACAACACCTATACCATACTGAGTTGCGTCAGTGGTAACAACGAAAGGTAGAGACGGATCGGCTACCTTGAGGACTGGGTACTCTATCAAGGCCCGCTTTAACTTCTTCAGGGGTGATGTACAATCTTTGTCCGACTTCCAGATTGCCTCTTTCTTTAGCAACCTGCGAAGGGGAGCAGCAATGGTGGAAAAGTTCCTGACGAACATTCTATAGTAAGTTGCCAACCCTAGGAACGACCGCAACTCTGTCAATGTGCGGGGAGTTTTCCAGTCTCTAATCGCTGCTATCTTATTGTCCTCAGGCTTTATGCCATCTCCATCTAGAATGTGGCCCAAGTATAAAACTTGTGTCTTGGCCTATTCACACTCCTTCGCGTTGATCTTGAAGTTAGCTTCTCTCAGCTTCACCAAGACCTGGCTTAGATGGCCCTCATGCTCCTGGAGGGTCTTACTAAACACTAAAATGTCATCTAGATAAACAACTACAAATCGATCTAACCACGGCCTAAACAAACCACGGTCTAAACTCTCCCTCTTTTTTGGGGACAAACAGAATAGGTGCTCCAAAAGGAGACTAACTGCGCGTAATCCAACCCTTCTCGAGGAGCTCATCTAACTGCTTGCGTAGATCCTCTAACTCCCTTGGGGACATTCTATACACCGCTCCTTTGGGAGTTCTACTGCCACGCTCTATTTCAATACGATGCTGGATCGGCCGCGATACTACTCCTGTAGGCAGCTCAAACAGATCTGCATATTCCTCTAGCAGCTTGGCAATACGAGGGTCTATGCACTCTTCAGTTTTAGGCTCAGTGACAAGCCTAACATAGGTTACGAAAACCGGTTCTTCTAGCTGCTCTTTCTTTACTAACCTTGCGAATGCAGGAGCGCTGAGGTAGCAATGTGCTAAGGGGTTGTCTACCCTTGACACATGAAACAGGCGGGCAATCTTAACTCCACGTGATGGGCTAGGGAGCCTACGCTCATGCTCTCTCAAGTGGAGTGTGGCCCCTGCTGCCTCTCCCGTGTCCATTCCTAGGACTATATCAAACGGGAGATTATCTTCTACGAGGAGAATGAGGGGATGGAGAACTTTCTCTACCTTCACATCTTTCTCTAGGTGGAAACATGCCTGGACTCCCTCATCATAATCCTCGACTCGCATCATGCGATTGTATGCGAGGATGCTGACTATAGGTCCCTCTAGCTTTCAGACCTTTAAATTCAGCTTCAGCTTCTGTAGCACTTTACGATTGATGTAACTACGGGTGGCCCCACTATAAGGGCCCCTACTCGGCCTCTAAAAACCTCTACATCTACTAACACTAGTTGTCCTTTTCCATCTTTCTTCATCTTGGCCCATGCAGGCATCCTCTCCTTCAATTCTTCTGCCACACCTGTGAGGGAAGTGCCTAGAGAGACCCTAACACAAGCAGTCTTTGGACAACTATCTAGGCACTAGCCGACAACCTCTGCCATAGACGCATGTGGTTTGGGAGTTTTTCTATGGTGCGCGCACTCTTCTGCTGAGGTAAGGGCAGTTGCGACCCCTACTGGCGGTTGCCTTTAGCTGCCTGATCGGCAAAACGGGCCTCTCTATATTTAGGGCAGTATTTAATAATATGCCCTGGATCACCGTATAAATGCACTGATCCTGCTCAATCCTCTTCTGCCAGATCTTTTGATCGAGGCCCAGATCTTCCCAGGGCCGGCCTTGTGGCAAGCCAGGGTGCCATCCACCCCTCCTGGGAGGTGATCGATTGAAACGAGGACGATTTTGCGGGGGACCTTGACCCCTGCCTCCCTCTTGGCAGTTTCCTCTGCCGCCAACCCCCTGATCGTCCTTTACTTGACCACTATAGGCTCGGCCCCCTTGGAACCAGCCTCCTCCTCTTCCTTGCGGCCTCCCTTCAGCCGCGACAACAGCATAGGTCCTCCCATGACCTACACTCCCGTCCTCCTCCTCGAGGCCCCACTCAATCTCACTATACGGGACCTCCTCCATTCCGCCGTCATCTAATGTCAGGATCAGGCCGTCTTTCCCCTTTACCTGTCCTGAAATGGTCTGGCCCTTCCACTTCTTACCCTTGTCGAAATCTTTGTGCCAAAAGGCAGTGACTGGCGTGGACTGGGCCTCATAGGCAACAACGTCGCGACTCAACCTATCATAAGTCATCCCTTGTTCTCGCGACTTGTCATAGAAGTGCTTGTGCAAACTCTCGGGCATTGCACGATAGAATAACTGAACCAACTGTGGCTCAATGACCCCATGCCACAAGCTCGTCCATGGCTCTTTTGAGCATCCTTGCACTCTTCCACTGACCTGTGTGGATCATCAAGAGCTTGTCTGAGGCTTTGATTCCCTTAGTGCATCCACAAAACGTTCGCGAAGTAACTTTAGGAATTCATTGAGGGGAGTGATGGTGGAATATTTCCATGTCATTGTCACATTTGGCAGGGCGAGCTAACGACCTGGCGAAGCTAGACGCTGCGTCTCTAAGGGCATGGAATGCCACGAGGACCTGCTCCTCCGGAATGATATCCTGGAGGTGCAAGTAGAAATTGATGTTTTCCTCCCAATTATCAAAATCTTCCGGCTGTTTCCCGCTGTAGGCATCAGGAAACTTTACTTTTACTCATTCCCTACACGTGTGTGCCTCCTCCTCCTTTGGGACTGCAAGCTTGGCGCCCTCTATGGCGCCAACACAAAATTGTTTTGTGTTCTTCATACGGGCATGCATCTCAGAGCCCATCCGCATCATCATATCGTGGGCGAAGTCTCTAAAGCCTACTCGGATGGACTGTAGGGCTATGTCATGGCCTGTTGAGGTATGCATCTGCTCCTGTTGGATGCGAATCAATACGTTTATGCTCCTTGCGATCGCATCCACCTTGCTCTGCAAGTCCCCTTCTCTCAGCGCATTAGTATGTTGTTCTGTTGTGGCAGCCAATTCCTTCTCTAACTCAGTGGCCGCCTCAATGCGCCTCCTTCTCTGCCTCCTTAGTCACAATTTCCACTCCATTCTTTTCTCCTCTTCCAGGGCCTGCTGCTGTAATGGGTCTCTCAGGGCCTTTATCTCTGCCGCAGCAACATCCCTCTCATCCTAGGGGATGTGCATCAAGGCTTCTTCATCTTCCCCCAGGGAAAAGTTAGCGACCCACTCCGACACCATCTTCTCCAGTTTCTTCTCGTCTTCAATAACCCCACTGGAATCCCCCCTTTCCTCTCTTCTCACAGTCCTCACCAGGGGCATCTCCTCTTCGTCTTCTTCTTCTACTTCTTTAAGCTTCTCCTCCTCTTCTCTCTTCAACCTCTCCATCTCTTCTTCAAGCTTCTTCTTCTTTGCCGCCTGCGCTTCCAACAGGACCTGCTTTTTGGCCTCCTCCTTCTCCTTTCTCGCCTTCAATATGGCGGCGCCCCTCTCTTCCTTCTCTTTCGTGTATGGGGTGGTGCTCGTCCCACTACGTGTGTTAACCATGGTGTCAAGTGCACAACTGAGTGACAGTTCCACTTCTCACCACTTAGACTTCCACCCCTAACTGACTTAACTTACTGACCTATTGACTCTCTAAGGACCACAAGATCTTCCCCTTCGATCCAGCCAGGTTACCACGGCCAACGGAAGCTTTCCCCACCATTGTCCTTCAAAATCCAGACCCAGATGCCCTGCACTTGCGGTCAATCCCACCTAGCTTTCACTCCGGTTCAGTGCCCAACTAGGATCTCTAGCCTAGACCTATTTTAGTAAGCTGTCACTACAGGACTTCGGCGCTGATCAGGAGGCATTTAAGGAGATCCCCCATAACTCAGGAATTCTTTAACGTAGCAAACAGGACGACGCGATCAGCAAGTCCTCTCAAGACTTAGACAACTTGTTGTGCTGCCCACAACTCGGATTTTGGGCCTACCATGCCACATTGAGCAGCCCGCCGGTCTGTACCGATCCTTGGGAGGGTTTGTCCTTCGGGTCAGTCAGTCGTCAGACATGGCCTTTAGCCCGTGTGGGTTTGGTCAACAAAGCTCTACGACCTCATACTTAGAGTTCCTATCACCTGGACAAAAGAGACTCAATGCAGAAAGAAGAGACAGACAAACTCAGCAAGTACCATAGTGTGAGTGCACATCCATAGGGCGAGGGGATAGGCTGAAGGCTCGGCGAGAGTATGCCAACACCAGCTTGGTCAATTTCGTGGTCAACAGTCCCGGTCAATGCTGGTCAACGCTTGGTCAAATTGTCGGTCAACGCCTTGGTCAACGCCAGTCAACTCCCTGGTCAACTCCTCGGCCAATGTCTTGGTCAACACCTTGGTCAACCCTCAACTCGGCTATTGCTGTCGACCCCTTTCTTTCTCACCAACCTTCACTTCCCTGTTTCTCTCTCCTTCCTTTCTTCTTCCTTCACCCCGGTTATGTCTTTCTCTTTCCTCCTTCGTCTCTCCCTTCTTCTTCCTCGGCTATGGCCTTTCTCTCCTCTTCGTCTCTAGCCTCCTCCTTACTCGATCTTCTTTCTTCTTTGTTGACTCCGTGTCCGACCTCGACGGCTATGGCCACCACCTCCTTTCTTGGACCGCACAACAATCTTGTATCACCCATCTCTCTCTCTCTCTCTCTCTCTCTGTTACATGCACAAATATGCCATGTACGTAATAATCGAGGATCTGCAATGTGATCAAAAGGACAGAATGGACAATGCAGTGCGAGTAGAATCTCGACAGACAATGTGCATTCTCATACATACAAAAGGTGCTGAATAGCGCAGGGAAGACTTTGATACAAGGACTGACCTGACAGGGACTGACCTCACTCACGTAGTAACAAGTAGCAAAGCAGAATGCTAGAATACTGATAACGAGCCCAATCAATGTTTGAACCTAGACCAAACATGCATCATACCCATCACCGAGTGTGAGGGAGCCCGACGCTGTACACAGGAAGAAGCGCCAGGTTCAGACATACACAGACGAAGAGGTAGGGAACAGACGAAAGGAGGGAGAGTGATGGGAATGTCGTTAACACCAAGTCTTGGTCACCAATCCCAAATAATCCCTCGTTGCCTTGTCTGAAGTCCCCAAAAGTCGAGTCTGGATCCAATGTCACCAAGCTCTGTCTCTCTTCTCTCGCAGTCTGCAGATGCAGTGAAGTCAGATGTTGAGAGGGAGAGAAGAAGATGGTGGACTGAGAAGAGGAAGAAGAAGACTCTCTCTCTCACTGTTACGAACCAGATACTAACCTGTGATGTTGGCGCTGTGCTGCAGGTACCTCGAAGACGAAGCTGGAGCAACGGCGCTGCAGGTAAGTACCTCTGTCCTCCGCCCAATCTCTCTCTCTCTTGCTAGTGCTATCCTAGCTATGGCGCCCA